TTTTTTTTTTTACAGGTGCTAAATTCCCCATCAAGTGGACAGCCCCTGAAGCAGCATTATATGGTCGTTTTACTATCAAATCAGATGTCTGGTCGTTTGGTATACTACTGACTGAACTGGTGACGAAGGGCAGAGTACCGTACCCAGGTAAGGACAACACATGCACTGATCTTTTATATCTTTCTGTCTTTATTTTTATTTCACCAGGGGAAGGCTGTTATTTTCCTCCTTGTTTTGTTTTTAGTTTTTGTTTTAAACTTCTTCATTATCTTGGTTGTTTTGCATGCAAAGAACATGGATGGAGTGCTTAGAAGTATTCCTTGTGGAAAACCAGCATAAATCTTTCAGCATTGCCTCAGGAATATCCCAATGTGCTATTTTAGTCCTCTGTCATGTACAGCTTTTAATTTATCACACATGCAGATCAGAATAGAAATGGATGTAGGCGATGTGAGTCAACGCAGGTGTCTAGTTGACTTATCAGTCCATGGGAAAGTACCCTCACATATGTGATCTCCCACTTCCCATCATAGTCTGCCACCTCGTTTCTGCCCCCTGCTGCGGCAGAGCAGGACTGCAGCGTGTGCGCGTCTAACCGTGTTCGCCTGGCACTGATTACAGAGCGTACCATATGGCAGACTTAACCACCATCTCTTGTACAGGGCCATCTGGCTCCACTGGCCTTCTTGATTTCAGTGCAGATCATTCAGTCTAATTAATTCACCCCAGACCTGCAGATTCTGGGGACTGAACCCTCTTGTTATCCTTCTCAGAATTGTAGTATGGCCCAGTGGATGTTTGAGGTTCTGGACTTTTGTGTGTGTTTTGTTTGACGGTGAAAGAGCATTTGGACGCAGCAACACCAGACGTCTGTATGAGAACACGTCATACTTCTTCTATTTTAGCTTTGGTATATATATAGATATTTATACTCACTCTGAATATGGCAGACATGTAATTAGAGCTGAGGTGTTCAGATGCAAGACATAAATCATGTTAACGCCTCAGCATCCGACATGCTGCTGCCACCAGATCCTGGTCTCAGCAGTTGCTCTGGGTCTTTCCTCTCTCCGAGTGTGAGATAATCTGATCCCCACTCTCCCACAGAGAGATGGAGGGGGGAGGATGCTGTGACCATGCCGCTGACTTTGTATCATAACCTCTTTTAGCTGCAGTTGAGCTCCCCATGGAGCTGTTTGTGTGCTGTTCCACAGGGATCATGGTCTTCCTGTCTTGGGAAGGAATCCACAACTGTGCTCCAGTCTGGCAGGAAGAGGCATAAAGATGGAGCAGTACTGTTTGGTTTTTGCTTGAAGTTGAGGCAGAGTATGAGTATTGTGTGTTTTAGCCAGACTGCCCTGATAGAACATGGGCACATCTTTAATAATTGAATTGTATTTCTACGAACTTGACATTTTATGAGCTCCTTTCCTTCTTAACCCGAAAACCTGCTGATGGGTTTCAAAACTTATTGTCTTTTTAAAAAAATGAAACTATTTGTCAGTGCCAGAAACGATAAAACAGAGAGAAATGTCAGATTTCAGCTTTTCCAGTGGTCCTTGAACTACTCCACTCTGACATGCCGTTAGTCAGAAAAATGATTCACATCCAAACTTGCAAAATCAATTAATTATACATGTCTCACAAAAAAAGTGCCAAAATGAGCAGTTTACTCTAACCAGATTCTCAAAAACTCTGTGCTTCTTGTGCAATCATAAAGTCATCAGTGACTAAGCCAGGACCAACAATAGTGACAAAAATCAAGGACTTTTTGCCTGAACTTTTTGGGCTTGACTCCAGGCTGTGCTCGCACAGAGCAGAGAGGAGACAAGTGTGGAAACAATGGACTTGGCAAAATGTTATGCATGTTGATTTCAGGGGTTTTTAATTTTTCTAAGTAATGAAATTCTTCTTCAATTTTTATAGCGGTAAACTGTCAAATTGCAAAGAACTTTTGTGTTGTCTCTTCTTTGAGCCATTGTTGGTCTGAGGTAGTTTTTTTCTCTTCACCACAGACCACAGTAGTCCCATTGATGTGAAATACAGAATATGAGAACAAAGAAATAAATGACTCAGTCTGCAGACTGCACCTTAACTATTAGCTTAAAAGCAAACAAAGGCCAAAAAGATTACAGAGAGACAAACTGAATTCCTGCAGGATGAGCAGCTCATTGCTGTGGTAGAAAATCCAGGTTTTCATTGTGTTTTGGAGCTCGTGTATGAAGTGTTGCAAAAAGGCTCCTGACCACTGACAAAGTCTTTTACTAGATTGCACTGCGCTTTGCTTGTTAAACCTTTACGACAATGCTGCACTAACCAAACCTGTTATTTCTATTTGTTGTGACCATGAATTTTGATACGTACAGTGCTTTACAAATGTATTAGACCATCACCCAATGTCAGGTTATGTCTCAACTGCCCTAAATTAACAGCATTGGTAATTACCAAAATCATTTCTAATGTGTCTGAAATGGTTAATACACCAGTTTGTAGAAGCTCTTTAACTGAAAGGATATTTTTAATGCTCAAATAGAATATTATTGTTATCCATGAATTTTCAGATTTACTGTTTTACATAGAAAAAAAAACAAAACAACAAAAACACATTATTATTTCTCCATTAAGATGTCAAATTCTAGTTAATTACTTGCATTCCTGAACAGACAAAATAGTTTGAGTGGTTGAATGTTATGCTTGATTCAGTTCAGACTTCTCAGAGAAGTCCAGTGAGGCGGCTCAGACTTGTGTAGAAAAAGATGAATTCAGTTTGAAATTCCTCATTCCTGTTCAAAATGGTAAAACGTGGAGAGCTGAGTGAGCATTAAAGCACTTCATGATGCTGGATGGTCGATATACATATATACAGTGATTAATAAATTAGACAGGTGGTGTAATAAATTCATTAGGCACTGCATTACAGTGTTTAAAGTGGAATTGGGATTGTATTAATCATTTTGCATGTTCTAGTTTGACTGCTAAAATGCATCACTCAGTGGAAAACAGGTATTAATAGAGACATATTTCACTTTGTTTACTTTGTTATTTTGTACAATAAACAAATGAACGCAGCTGTATTTTCTAGGGTTTGGGTCTTGATATTGGCAGATGCTTAGGATTAAATGACTTGATGGGGACATCCCTAATTCCATTTCTTTGTATCTTTTTTTTTTTTCAAGGTATGGTGAACCGAGAGGTACTTGAGCAGGTAGAGCGAGGCTACCGCATGCCCTGCCCCCAGGGCTGCCCCGACTCCCTCCATGAGATGATGAGGCAGTGCTGGAAGAAGGAGCCTGACGAAAGACCGACCTTCGAATACATCCAGTCTTTTCTAGAAGATTACTTCACAGCCACAGAGCCACAGTACCAGCCTGGAGACAACCTCTAGTCTGGGGGATCTGGGGCGAACTCAGGCGTGCCGAGGTACATCAGTGGAAATCAAAAGTTGGGACACCGGAAAAGTTCAACAAGGCAGCAGTCGCTTTGCTGAAGCAGCAGAGAATGAGGTTTTACAAACTAGTCCACAATGACACTGGTACACCTGAAAACATTTTCTCAAGTAGAGGTTTGGCCCTTGTCTACCTGGGGACCAAAGTATCCAAGTGTGCAGACTGGTGCTGGTATGTTAGGCTCTGGGAACTCTGCTAATCAGAATAATCCACATGGGCTGGCCACAACACTGTGATCAAAAAAAAAAAGTGGGATTTCAAATTAATTGCTCCTTGCAGATGCACATTTCTTTTTTTTTTTCTTTTTTTTTTTACTTTTTTAATGATAAGTTCTCTCACCCCTTCTCCAATTTCCCTCTTTTTATTTGTATTTTACATCACAGTCTTTGATATTGGTGTCCAAAACTTTTATATGTACATGAGTTTGGTTTTGAATATGTTGGCTGATAAGTATGTCTTTGATTGACCAACAACTGGTTGAACTGTCAAGTATGTGCTGTGACTGTAAAGTTTCGATGGTGAGAAGACGTAAATGAAAAAAGGTGTACTGTATGGATGCAAGAATGTACGAAGAGATCAAAGCAGATGTACATACAGTATGTATAAAAAATGTATTTTTAGCAGGTGTGATCAGGTGGGCGAGTGAGAATAAGAGAAGTGTTTGTATGATTCTTTTTAACACAGTCACTTGAATGGCAGATTACATCTGTTTATTTTGCTTTTTTTTAATTTAATTGGGGATTTGAGATCATACAGAGGTATTTTGATAAATTACCAGGGCAAACAGTTTTCCTGATTAACATTTTATAAATGTTTAGAAATGGACGTTTCAGCTGTGAAATTTAAACGAGATTGAGGTCGTTTCTGTCCTTAAATTAGCATCTTGACTTTTTTTCAGTGCACAGCTCTGATTGCTATAAAAGATTTTAACATATTTGTCTTTATATTGCACACATCTACACAGGTAAATATTGCAGTACATGAGGTTTACCGTGATGGGCGGTACAAAGGTACACACACACACAGCTGTAGTGTTTGTTTCTCTTCTCAGTAAAATCCCACCAACCCATGACTAAGCACACCTGCAGCGTCCTGTAGTTCTGTGTTTGCTGGAGGGTTTTATCCAAAGCTACAAGTTCACAAAACACATTTTAAATGCAACTATGCAAAGCCATCAAGCGATGTTCAACAAAACATCTGACACGGTCGTTGCATGTATGGGACTCCCTTTAGTTTTTCTTATTTCTATTCCCAGTGGTAGACCCGATGAATTACTTCTTCACTCCAACCAGACAAACAAAACAAACACCTCGCACAGGCTGTGGTCCAGGCAGGGCTGCAGTTCTTCTAGAGAGATTAAAACAGTCTGATAACGGATCCTTAGCGGTACTTCCTCTCTCTGTGCAGGTGTATGTGATGGGAAATATGAGAAAATTTAAAGCTACAAAGATGTGAACTTTTTTTTTTTTTTTTGTATTTTTTCTGTTGCGTTGCTCACGTAATATGTGATTGTTCCTAAAAAATGGGGTCTTGAACTAGTGGGGACATGAATAATGAAATAATGAGAATGGTAACTAATATGATTTTGTACAGAAAAAATAAAAGTTTTACTCAAAGGTTGTCTTTTAGTTTTTGTGTTCTCGACGGATGATAGTGCTGCTCGGGAGGATTCAGACCCAAGAGGTCAACGTTTCATTTTACACCTCCTGATGGACCTCGAGACCACCAGAAAGCCTGTTTTTATTTATTTACACCATTTTACAACCAACAAGAAGTACATTCCCGTCTTTATACATTCAATAAATAGCAACAATTGCTATGGTTCAGCTGCAGTATATGTACATTTCAACAAGATGATGTCTACTCTACAAACAGTCTCAGAAGACACTGTAGTTTACTCGTCCTCAAACCTGTGAAGAAGAAGAGAAAGCGTTTCTGTGATTTAAGGAGTGTAAGAGCAAATATTGCAACTATATTTCATAAATACTCAAGCACACCTTTTCCCTAAGCCTAGTATCAATGACAGCATATACCTTCTTTTTTTCAAAAGAAAATCACCAGAAGGACACGTGGCGGTGGAAGAATGTGGACAAGTTCTCACCTGACCATCTCTTTGTATTTGTCCAGAGCCTCCTGGGCAACATACTGGATGAAGGCTGGGTCCTGCAGCTCCAGCTCACCGGGAACAGAGAGGATAAGTGGGGGAGAGTTTAAGATGTTCACTTCTACCTTGGTCTCACTGACGGACACGTTTTGCTCATCACGGCTCTCTGGCGCCACCTGGAGAGAGGAAGAAGTCATGTTTTACACCAGCGCTGACTGTACCTGCTATTATTGGATACTGACAAAAGTTTTTCTATGAATATCAAAGGGTGTCTTTATCTCCATTTGTTGATTCTCCCCCCACTTATAGACTCTTTAACAATATATTTTAGTTTGCAATTCAAATTCTGTGCAACAAATATCTAAAACGCCTCAGCACAAACCCCCACATGTGCATATATTTCTCTCTTCTGACCCCCTTACATGTTTCTTTTACATCCACCTTTTTTTACCACCCCTCCTCCTGTTCCTGCTCACCATAGTGATGTGGAAGATGTTCTGAGGAGTGCTGCTGTTGCTCACAGCCTGAGCCACCCAGCTGAACTCAGCCGCCATGTTGCTGAGCCAGTTGACCGTTTCATCCGTGTGGCGCTGGACAATGGACAAGATCTCATTGTACTGCTCTTTGGAGACATCCACCAGCTGGGAAACTTCCTCCAGCTCTACATGCAGCTCCCGAACACTGGGACACTCTGGAGGAGAGATGGTGATGAGCTTATTGTGTGGAAAGAGAACAGCTGAAATAAACAGGGAGTCCAGGGTTGGTGGTGCTTCACCTGTGAGCAGAGCTCCCTGACAGGCCTCACACTGGTTCTGCAGCTGCCAGCACTCAGATGTCTGTTTGCGAAGGTCTCTGCACAGCTTTCTGTTCTGCAGGAAACGAGGGAAGCTTCCCCTCCCTACAGCAAATACAAAAATGATGAACAAGGTAGATTAGTGTTTAGATGGTCATTCAAGGAGAGCAACAGATGGCGACTCTGTAAGCGAATACTTTTTAAAGTTTCAGCTGTTTCTGAGGTTATGACTGCTGATCGTTCCTCACCATGTGCTACTGAAGCTAAAGGATCTTCATGTTTGCTTTCAAACCATTCAGCTCTTATAGTTTCACACATACAACCATTTCAATCTGTTCTCTCACGATGGCACATATGTGGCTGCTGAGCGCCGCACTACCTTTCTTCTTCTCCTCCTCCACTGTCTGGTGGATGTCATCAAACACCTGAGTCACCACAGCTCCAAACTCCTCGACGACGCTCTTGCCAAAGTCAAAGAAGGATTCCAGCACCTCCTCCAGGCCCACGCCCTGCAGGAAGCCCGAGTCCCGGCCAGGGTAGTAGGGATCAGAGGTGCTTTCTTCAGTCAGGACATCGGTGTTGTTCAGGAAGGCTTTCTGAAGGACTTTGTCGACCCTGCTGCTCATCCTCGACACCAGTGTGACGCTACGGTTCACCACTGTGCCAACCTTGCTGATCAGGCGGTTGAAGGAATCCTCAATTCGGACAACCTCTGTGTCTGTGCTGTCAGGACCCTGGTTCACCAGGATGTCTCCTGCCTCCATGCTGGGCTCACGGGGGCCGAAGCGCCTTGAGACTTTTTGGAAAAAGTTTTCGACCTACAAAACAGAATTTGTGGGAGTCAGTAGAGCCCAACTGATGCCACAGATATATTGGTATCTTATCGGTATGTTATCCAGCATACAGCAATATAAAAACTTTCTTTTACAGAACGCAGTACAGAAACAGATAATTGAGATTATTTCGGAACTGCATCATCAAATAGTTTGTCAAAAAGAGCAGCTGCATTCTTTACAGAACTCTTAGCACAGTCTGCAGCACATGTAGCAGAGTACCTATCACAGCTGAAGGTGGCGCGTCAGCCAGTCAGGTTGTGTCTGCATGGCACAATGATAACGAGTTAAGAAAACACATTGCTAGAAAATAATAAATACTGACCCCATCATTTTGCCTTTCTGATGAACCATGTTATAAACAATAGACGATATATCCATACTGGGATTTCTTAATACATGTATCAGTGATATCGCCTCCAAAGATCCAATGTCAGCAGTAAAACATCCAGTGTATTAGAAATAGTGTATTTTACTGTTATGTCTGGCTGTGGTGGAGGCAAGAAAGTGATTTTTGGGGTTTAAAACAAGCTAAAAAAAAAAACCCATTCTACTTTTGTTTTTCATTATTTGGCAAAGCTTTTCTGTCATATTCTGTATAGATGAACCTCTTAAGACCTGAGCTCTTGTTTGATGTGCATTTAAAAAAAAAAAAAAATGTTGCTATTTCATCTGATCAAATAGCAAAGAGAATAAAAAATAAAAAAAAATATAAAGAAAATACAATATATGTTAAAAAATATTTTTTTAAAAATTAAAAAATAAAGAATATAAAAATAACATATAAATAATAAGATAATAACAATAAACTATTACAATTTTATTTATTTATTTTTTAAATTAGCTACTGTGTCCACGCATGTGAAGTCTTAAGAGGATAAACCTCTAAACACTGTTTCAATGTAATATCTTGTGAGGCAAATTAGGTCGCCTGTGTTGAGTTTAGCTGGGCAACTAGTGGTCTGAAGGACAATACATACTTTGGAGTTCAGTGTATTGCTGATTATTCTAAATGCGTGCAGGTGATTTTACTGATTAACGCATGTGCTTTCATCATATTTTAGTGCTTGACTGAATTTATCACCTCAGTCAATGCAGAGAAGATGTCAGCTGTACTAAAAAGGGAGGGTTCAACAGATAAACACTACTTTATTTCTGGCAATACTGTGCTGGAGTTTGTGGGTTAGAGCAAGAACAACACAGTCAGAGCTGCAGTTTTCATACCTTTGCATGGAAAGTGGCGAAGCCCCTGCGGCAGGTGGAGGTATAGAAGGATTTACAGGCATCCTCCAGACAGGGCCTGCACTCCTCCCACTCAGACTGCAGCGAGTCTTTGCACTGCTCCTCGGCCTCCTCCAGCTTCTCAGTCACCTCCCTGGCCAGCTGTGCTGACCCCTGGTGGCACAAACAGGAGACATTCATACACTTCCATGTTTTTGCTTGAATCTTCTGTTAGAGCAGCTGTCACTCTTACCCTCTTCTTGTCGCTGCTGTGTCTCAAAGACTTCATGAGGTGTTCGTGCTTCTGCTCATTCCTCCACATCACCTCCTTCATCTGCTTCACCCCGTACAGAGCTCTCCTCACCTCCTCGTCCACCAGTTTCTCACCATCCACTGACAACTCTGAGAGAGCATGAGATAGAAATCTGGGTAAAATGTGTATTCTAAGCACTCACATTTGTATTTCGTTAGCCTCATAGCATACTTGCCAAAGTCATATTTTCATGTTTTTGGGAAATGAGAAAAAACACAATTTTTAGAAATTACATTGGTATTTATTATTGATTTTTTTAACAGTACATTCAACCAGATGTGATTGGCCAATGACATAGGTAGAAAGACAGGATGACGCAGAAGTGATAGGAGAGTAAAGTTAGGCAAATATCTCAATTTGACCAAAAAATTACTTAGGCAATTATGCTATGAGGCTAACGATTCGTGAATTTCAACAGAATCATCAGTTATTTCATAGTTGTTGTTTTTTGCATTACAATCTAAACGTCTAAGATAGCAAACATGTAACACTAAATAAATAAAACAATCAGAAGTGCTGGGTCAAGCCTGACTTATATGTGAATGGATTGTAGGACGCTACACGGGCTGTCTGGAAGAGATCCTGCTTCCAACTTACGTTTGAGGGTCTCCTCTGAGACGGCTGTGGGTTGGTCCGCAGGAACAGAGTTGAGGCCACACAGTGTGGCCACCAAAACGGCCAAACTGAGCAGGAACTTCATTCTGGAGCTCAGAGTTTGATGGGAGCAGCTGAGTCTGAAAGCATGTGACAGATGTGGTTTACATCTGGAACTGACTCACTCTCATTTGCGCACAGAAACAGATGTAACTTATGCAAACACAGAAGTACCAACACAACTCTACATGTATTTGCATGCAGACGCACTTTTAAGTTAAGAAACCAAAACAGGTGTCGTCTAGTCTGATCCAGAAAGTTAATAGGATTTGAGCTCAAGTGTGATTTAATGTCAACAGTTCTGGATGCGGTCATAAGTTAGTCTGCCACTTGGTGGTGCTGCACGTCTGTCTGGACCTACGAACCTGCAATAATCTGTCCCTCGTACTTGGACGTGAGAAACATGAGAGCTCTTGAGTTTAGTTTGACCACAAAGATACATTTCAGTAAAACCTTAAATAGTGCATGTGTAGTAATCACAGGTAGATTATGCCGGCAGTCATACTGTGAAGAGTTTCTGTGGCGTTAAAGTGTAAAAGCAACCATTTTATTTACAGATTATTTTTAAAAGTAACCTGTAAAGTCTCTGCACAGGGTAGTTTTGTACTGTAACTTTGTAGTGCATTTTTAAAACACCGGCTCTCTGGTTGTTCATGTTTACAGTGTAGTCTGCTGCCATTGCATCACTACAACTTTTCTTCTTTCTTTCTTCTCGTGCATCCCTTTAATCATTCAGCTGACTGAGTTTTGTTTTTACTTGAAGCCGGACCATGAAGAGGTCAGCAGCAGGAGGTGAGCACCTAATAAGATACATCATAGGGTCCATCTCAGCTGGAAAAGCTGGCAGGCTGTGTTTACGCCCGGGCCATCTGCTGTGCCAGGAGGTCAGGCTCCAGCAAGTCACAAAAATATACACCGAAAAAAAAAAAAAAACCTTCTGAAAGATCCGTTGTGTTTATTTGCCTGTTTGCTAACACTTTACAGCTTAACTCACCTGCTGGACTTTTCTGGAGTCTCTGGCCCAGTTCAGCCATGCAAGGAGTTACACAAGTGAGCATTCAGCAGGGATTTACAGTAAATGAGGATGTACTCATGCCTTATTTCATTATGGGTTTAAGCTGAAAGCCGCTCTATTACATCCCACTGGCAACATCTCTAGCTTTTGTTTCTAACAATCACCAAGCAACAGAGTGACATAAGTGTGTGATTCGGAATAAAAAAGGAGTTTAAAGAGGCTCGAACTGATAAAACTGGAGCTCCAGTGAGTGCCGTCATAACTTACCCTGCTCTCAAAATATCATTTTTAAAGAGGCAAGTAAGGAAAAGCACAAGTCAAAATACAAGAGAGTGTTTGAAACATTAACAAAACAGTAGTAAGATATTAACATTTAGCAGAGGTTTATTATCAAATGCAACAGTCTGACTAATAAAAAGAGAAGAAATACCCAACAGAGCCAACACAACAAAAACAACTCACCAGCAGAAGACCGACGGTGCGTCTCGGCTGATGGAAATAAACAAAGTGCTCTGTGTGGACAGCAGTCAGCAGGTTATCTTGACCTGGTCAGGTCTATTTGTGCTCTTTCCACTTGAGCTTTATCCTATTACTGTCTTTGCTTGATGCTGATGCCCATTAATCCAGCATTCGTCACGCTGACAGAGAGACTTGTTGGTTTTCTTGGTCATATCAAACATGTTGTTCATTCTTAGGACAATTAATTAACGTGATGTGTTATAACGGGGTGTCTGTTAGTTCAGGAAACAGAAAGATTGAACTGGACAGAAGAGGAGGGAAATTAGTTCATGTCATATTTTATTTCATATGAAGTGCAGAGGAGTAGTTTCTTGTAATAAAATTAAAAAGTATTTTCAACATTAATGTTAAATTAGCCGTGTTGGGCTGCTTTGACATCAGTTCTGAGGGAAGTCCTTAATATAGCGCACACACACACACACACACACACACACACACACACACACACACACAGCAGCAGCAGCAGCAGCAGCAGCAGTGAATCCTTTCTAAGTGGAGATAAGACGAGATCATATAATCAACAAGCTTGTTTTGCTTTGAATGATCTCATAAGAGTGCTGCAGAGCTGCACCCTTCTACCGTTTAAGCAGATGTAACCTGCATTTAAATAGGTGAAAACACACAAATCTTTTCTTATAACTGATGGGTAACTTCAGCAGGTTATGTATACATGACCACCAGTTATTCTTAGATCTCTATCCAGATGTGAACCAGTGTATTTTTAGTGAAAGGAAACAGTTCCCTCAGCAGCGAGCTGTTTAGTATCTCCACTCCTGATGAAATGTGGGGGACTCGGGTTGAAAGGGTTTCTCTGTCCCCGTCTCTTCACTGCCGCCTCATCTCCCTCAAAAATGTGACCTTTTTGCATGCTGTGACCCAGAAAATAGAGTCCTTACTGGATAATAATGAAAACCAGCCTGTCCTCCAGCCTCACTGACACCTTCAGCACCTGGTTCCTATAACACTGCAGGGAGAAACGTTCTTCCCATGTTCTCCCATGGTTGACCTGAGCATAAAACAGTTGACAGTAAAAAGGGCTCTTGGTTTTGTGAGACTACAAGCACGTCATTATTCAGGGAGGAGTAAAATATAAATCAACACTTAAACAGGCGGATGTTTAGCAAATGATTTTAGTTTGGTTTGGTTTTGGGGAGTCTGATCATCTGATGATCTATGAAAGTGTTTCCAGGTTTTAAAGAGCTTTATAAACTCCTCCAAGGTGTTGCAGTCGGTCCATACATGCCGCAATGTGGTCGTGTCTTAAATTTTGTAGCACTGATCAAACCTGAAGAGATCAACAGGTGTAAGGATAAAAAGCTTTACCGAGAGCTCAAGTGTAATAGATGAAGCAGCAAAACACTGGTCTGAGAGCCACACTGAGTCTGGTATTAGGAAACAGGATTAGTGAAAAATATGTCTTACTGTAGGTCATTGAACAGCAACGACTCAGACAGGAGTCTGTGACAGATGATTTGTTAGACTGAAATAAAATTCTATGAAAGCAGTCGTTTTTAGAGAGTTGACTTGGTCGGTACATTTTCTTTCAGCAGACTTCAGGAGAATCAATCAGGAGAATAAACATATGTGAGACTTTGTGCAATGATCTCACGTGAGCACATGCAAAATGTAATCTTTTGTTAAGTGATGCTCAGTGATCGCTGTGTGAGTCCCACTGTACAATAAACCTGCTGAAGTCAATATCTCTGCATTAATGGTGGATCAAACGCCTACCTGTAGTGTGACAAACCTACAGAGAATTATCTGCTCCAGTTCATCCAGTTCAACACTTCTGTTTTGATAAATTTCTAATTTTTCTCATGAGCTGATAAAGACCAGAAAGAATTAAAAGATGAGTGACTTTTATTCACCGGGTGGCCACAATGAGTTTGAATGAAGAATAATGTTCCTCTATTTCTTCTGGATGTTTGAATAGTTTGAAAACATCTCTAAGTCCTACCAACTTTGTTACTGCCCCCAAGTGGACAAAACCTTAAGGATGCCTTGTTGTGCAGTTTGAGTGGAAATAATTGCATCTTTGCTCTTTTGTAAATAATGACATCTCTTAAATGTGTTACATTTACTAAAAAATAAAAAATACTCCACAGAGTAGAAATCTGTTAGTCTACTATGTACAAAACAGTTCCTGAGACAGAAACGTCTTATTACACACTTTGTTACTCACAGTTTATCAAACCCAACAAACTCAGTCCATCTTTTCAAAGTGAAAATTAAATATACAAAATAAGGAGGAAAATGTGGTTTTAGGTTTGACTGACTGACTCGACTTCATTTTTCTCGGTTTAACAAACACAGTCAGGTGACAATAAATGAACTGAAACATTTCAAAAAACGATTTAGGTTAAAGGCACTTCTGCATTGGCTTCACTTTTCATAACTAAAGGCTTTGTCCCGCCTTTACATACAGTCTGTGGTTTGCACAAAGTTAGGATCCATCAGTGTGTCCATCACTTGTTTAACTGACTCTTATGATTGTAATACTGTACCAATAAAATCTCTTTACGTCAGTCAGGACATGGAAGGAAAAACTGATATTAACGCCATCGCATCATTTGTGCTAGAAAAATAAATAGGTTCATGTTTTGCTTTAAGAAAGCCGTCAGTGATTGCACAGAGTGGAGAGCATCGACTGAATAAAAAGATGGATGTAAGCTGGGTGTGGAAAGAGAGAGCACCATGGAAAGACCTTAAATCTAAAACAAAGGAGTCTGATTGAACAAACGTTTATGAGAAAATGATCGTACTTCTCACATGATTCATTACCTCAATAAATAATTTCCTTACAAGTTTATTCTCCTCCAATACAACATGATGGTCATTTAGTAAATTGTGACCCCATTTACTGGAAAAAGAGTCATTTTAGGGCATGGCTGTCTTCTGTTTGACTGGTCGCTACTGCATCAACATTCATAGTGTCCTCGAGTTCTCAGTCAGAGCCACTGCTTGATAGTTATGTTGGATTTCATGACCAAGATGGCAGTATTCAGTACTGTAGTCCATAAACAGGTGCATCATTTCCTGTTGGCTACGTCTATCTTGGACTTGCAGTGCACGGCCAGAGCCTGCATGGAAGGTTGACATCAATACATCAACCGTAATTGTGTAAGAAACATTTTCAGAGTAATATTTGGCTATAAAGTGTCAGTAACTGCACAGAGTGGAAACAAACATTTGACTTGTCTTCATAGATGAATACATATTTTTCTTCCACATATTCAGGTTCCGGTCATGGTCGCAGCTGAGCAGGACAGGACATTCCAGATGTCTCCATCACCAGCAGCCTTTCTTAGTTCCTCCTGGGGGATCCAAAGGTATTGCCAGGTCAGATGAGACAATCTCTCCAGAGAGTTCTGAGTCTACCTAGTTGGACAAACCTGGAAAACCTCCAAAGGAGGGCACCAAGGTGATAGCCTCATCAGATGGTGGAACCCCCTCAGCTATCTTCTTTGGATGTGAAAGAGCAGTGACTCTGGATGTCCAGTCTCCTCACCCTATCTGTGAAGCTGAGCTTGGCCACCCTTCAGAGGAAATTCATTATGGCCACTTGTATCCACAACCTCATTCTTTCAGTTATGACCCAGAGCTCCAGACAGTAAGTGAAGGTCGGAACATACACTGAGTGGTAAATTGAGCGCTTCACCTTCTGGTTCAGAACCCTCTTCACCCTGGTGGTCCGGTACAGCATCCACATTACTGCCGACACTGCAGCAATCTGTCTGTCCCTTTCACATTCCATGTTTCTGTCACAGGAGCTCCAAAGATACTGAAGGTCCTTCATTTGGGGCATCAGCTCACCTCCAACTCAGAGGGAATGATCCACAGCTGGGAGACAGGCAGTAGGCCAGGCTAATTAATCATAATCATTTTAATGATACCTGTTCTATGTCGTTAGGTTACTATGAAATGAAGGTAAATACAAAAGAAAGAAACAAAGCAATATAACACACTATTAGACATGACTGTAAGAAACCCATGATCCCTTCATGGTGACGCAGTGGCTATGGCCTCGTGAAGTCTAATGACAAAACAGTATTTGGGTTCAGGGAACAAAAATCTACCCAAATACCTGCTGCAATGGCTATGTTTGACCATACTGTGTCAGAACAAGGACCCACCACCCACATGCTGTACAAACATCTGCAGGCTGCCCCTCTGTATGCCTGCTGATCTGCTGCACACGTTCAGCCAGTGCTGTCTAATGTTACCACTCCTTATTCAGCGTAAATGTGCGCAACAGTAAAAAACACAGAGTGCACAGAGTGAACAGCCAGGGGTGCAGACGGTGCGCACAGATGTGAGGAACACGTGGTTTCTCCAAACAGCCCTACAGGCGCACCACTTCCTCTCACGTTTGGATTCCTTCAGTCTATGAGTTGGTACCAGCACAGAGCCGAGCTGGACCTGGATACAGCCTCAGCCCAGCATCTCTGCAGACAGCCACATGAATGAGAGAAGATAAGATAATAACACGGTTTTTCCAACTTGCTCTTGTAACTCCTACTTTCATCCCCCGCCTTCAGAAAAGTTCATTCCTTTTTTTTCTTTTTTTTTTCCCCAACGCTGCAGCACTGAAGTTACCTGCGCTGAAGGAGGTCGTCCCCAGAGTGCAGAGCAACGGATGGAGCTCTGAGTTCTATTTTTATTTTTTTATTTTTACTATTATTACTCATCTACCCCTACAACAAACTGAGAGCACTGGGATTCCAGACTGAAGGTGCCGTGGCGCTCAACAGGAGCTTTGGGGCAAATGCCACTGCGATGCTGTGGATGTGACTTCAAACCAGAGATTCACTGCGGTTCAGTCCTGTAAAGCACAATGAAAGGTAGGATCAATTAGAAGCAAAACAAATGTGAGATATGGAAAATGCGTGAAGCGCACAAACTTTTGCGACAAGTGGTGACAGTTTGCTCTGTTTTGTGCACGTTCAACATTCCTGTCGCTCTTTCTTTGTCACTTTTCTGCGCTCTTTCTCGCTCTGGACGGGAGGAATGCGTGGGCTACAACTCGCGTCTGACATCTGGTTTCAATTAAGGCTCTGTTTGGGATTGTTTTGCATCTGTCCACTGCTGCACATCAAACACTAACCTACACTGGGAGACCTACTCCAAACAGAGGCAGAAACAGGATTTATCCAAACATTAACTTTTCGGTCTCTTTTTGCGCTTTAATAATACATTTTTTACTTATTTTGAACTGCTTTCCTTGCATTCACTTGTTGCTCTTGAGGACTTCTGTTGGAATAAAAGTTTGTGTTGGCTGAAAGAAATGAAAAGTAGTGAAGGAAACACTGAGTCAGAGCTGAGAGCCCAACATGAAAAGCTTTATTGTGGTGCGCACACAGGCGCGCTCCTGCGCCCCGCGCTCACCCGGACACTCAATCCAAAGACTGGCTCCTGACACACGACATGAAACCCAGCTGAGGGAAGTGTGTGAATCATAGCGGTCAGTCGGTGGCAGATCAGGATTTTAAATAAAGGTTCATATTAGCTTTGCCCGGATTGATTCTCTTGTGGAGATTTGATGTTTTCACTTCAGCCTTGTCATTCTCACCCACAAAGACCACACTTCAGAGGTCAGCAGTGGTCCTTGTTACGCAGAAAAAACACAGCATCGCTCCTGCCACCGTGTGGTCTGTCTTAGAAGGCTCCAGTAGTGAGCATCTCTGCTCACATAACAAACCCTGGATGTTGTTGGCATGCAGGCCTCCTCCTGTACTGCAGTCAGAGGCAAAGGCATTTCACACATTCTCTCAGTCCAGCAGAATGCAGGTCGTCATCATTAAGGTGTCTATATTCTTCCATAAGCTCTTGGATGTAGATTTTGTTCAAACCTTGAGGAGGGGCACAAGTCTGGGATTTGTCCCACATGACATTTTGAGTGTCAGACTTTTAATTTCTTATGATCTGGCAAATTTAATCCACCAATTTGTGTCTTTCTGCATCAGTTTATGGACTCCTGGAATGCAAAACAGCTTAAAGGAATCATAAAATCAACTTTTTTTTCCTTCTAGCTTGCTTAATGTAAATATATAAATGTTGCTCATTTCTACTTACCCAAAGTTAGATGATCAAATTTTTGTTTTCAGACCACTTTAGAAGTTAAACACCTGAGTTTTTATACCTTGAGGCATTTTTACTTAAAACAACAAATGGATGAATGAGCTGTTCAGTTTACTCAACTCAATAAATTAGGTTTATAAGGAGCAAAAGTTGTTTATAAGCAGACCTTCCAGGAAGCGTTATTGGCGAGTTCAAAGTCCCCAGAGACTCTTGTTTTTTTTGTAGTTTTGAGAAAACAGACATGGTGGAAACTTGCTGTGTTCTTATTACGTGTTAAATTACGTTGTGGTTGTTTCTTTTCATAATAATCACAACAAATCTCACTGTGGTCAGGTTAGTAGTGAATTCAGTTTCTTCACACTTAGAAAATATAAAAGGAGAGCTCGTCTGTCTGTCCGCATTGTCTATGTGACTAGTCGATTCCACTTAATATCTTCAGTTTATTGAACTTGTTTGCTTACATTAAGTTAATTTAACTCAACTGGTTTTATGCACAAAATGGATAAATTAATCCACTGAAGTGCATTTAACTCACAAATTGTAGACAGCAGGGAAACTTACACTTCTAGGTGAATGAACTTCAGATAATTTACGATGTTTGTATTTCAGCAAGATTTCCGCTCATGTTCAAAACTTCCTGCTAAGCGAGGACACATACATCTGTGTTTGTTATGCTGAAGAAAAGAGACTTGCCTCCGTCAGAGCTATTGTTGTGTCTATGAGCGAACACTGAGGTGGTTTTTCAGATTGTTTTTTCATGTTTTTGTGGGTGGGGAAATGCATGTGTTCCAAATATTGAGGGGAGTGTAATTGGTTTGTCGTGCTTGAAATGTATGGGTCTGCATGTGGCAGCACTGTGGGTACAATTCTCTTTATTACATGATCTGTGGTTTTCTGCTAAGATTTGTTGAGGAGAAGTTAGTCCAAAAGTTGTTATTGCATAAACAGATTAAACAAGAATGTATTATATTATACACTTTACAAATTAGGGTCTGCAACACCATAATGCAAAAATCATGTAAATACCATAAAAGCATTACTTAACCACCCTGTCTTCACGCTCCAGTTACATGTTGGCCAGAACCACCAACATCTCCGCCAAGAAATAGTACAGCACATAACCAACCATGAAACAGCAAATTGTTGTTGACATACATATGAAAAGACGGACACATAAAAATTTCAGTAATGAAAATCATATTTGAGTTCAGCTAAAAACTGCAAACAAATAAATTTTACACCCACTCCAGGTGTCACAATCTAAAGCCAAATCTGTTTTTTTTGTTCAACATTTTTTTCTATAAGCAACTTTAAGCATGAATATCATGGAATTAATCATAGTTTCAATAACAAAACTGCACCAGTTTATTGTCTATGACACAGAGTCATAAAAACAAGCCTTTCATACCCTGAATGTTTTTTTTCTTTCTGTTTTGTAAATGACTGGGTTTGATTTACTGGAGAAAACTTTAAAAAGTGCATTTTGGGTAAAATGTCAAGGGTCATATGTTAGATAGGTGTTTGGTCAGAACAGGTTACAGCAAATGAAAGGTCACATTTTACCGACATTCTGATGCTAGGATCGTCGCCTAGCTCTGATTCCTTCTGTGTCAAAACATTTATTTATTTTTAAATATAATCATATTTTGACACGCTGTGAAATGGATAAACAACATCAGTGTTCACATGTTTCATATAATAGTTTGGACAAATCACATTGGTCAAGTTTGTAGCATTCAGTGCTTGATACTGAGTATGATTAAAGAGGACAAACACGAACATGTGCTTAACGTTTGCAGTGTGCAGGTTGGAATAACACTGAGACATAGTAAGAAAAATAGTAAACATTAACATTAAAGCAACATTAAACACTTATTTACTAGCAGTAATTAAAAGACTAAAATACTTAACGATCAATCAACCTTGACACATAGTTACTGAGGCTAGAACTGGACTGATTTTGGTTTGAAGGGGAAGGTGTTTCTATGTTTATGTTACATATGATCATTTTAAACTACATTTTGTATGTATGCAACAAACAATAACTATGTTTAGGTGTAAAGTAGGACCTAACATTGCAGCAGGGGAAATGCAACCATTAAAATGCTGTTGGAAAAATGTTTCTTTGTAGCTAAGACTTTTAAAACCCTTTCTCTTGTCAACCAAAGACTCATTGTTGCAGCATGTGGCGCTTTCTTGACCTTGAAATAACCGAACCATTCCTCACTGCTGCTCGTAATGTTGAGCAATAATTAGCAAGTAAAATGTTGGGCAATACTTCCATCAGTATCACAGCCCATTATAGCAATACGCTTCCCAAAATCCAAATCACACTGACGTTGAGTTACAGATCTATTTTCAAATCAGCCCTTTGGGTAAAATGTGAAGCTCCATTTCCCGGAATAGTTCTTGAATGGCCACTCACAGCAACATTACTGTTGTAATGGGACACAATCATGTTGCTCGGAAACATAAACAAAAAACAGGTTGTTGGGGGTGTTGGGAAAGGCAAATTCCTCCAGTAAGGTTAGGTTTCAGATTTTTATTTTTTTTACCACAGTTTAGATTGTTCTTGACACCTCTTAACTCACTCTGTTTTGTTTTCTTTCAAGACCAGTTCTTGGACTAAGGTCAGGGACAGGCAGCATCCCATCGGCCATTTCTTAGCTCTCCTGCTCGTAGCTGAAGAAATAAGTTCATACCTCTCTGACAGACAGTCATTCCTCTCCCGCTCCAGACGACCCTTCACTCTTCACTGTTTTTGACGTTGTACATGAAAAGATTTTTCTCCTGCGATCTGTGGGACATGTGGCGCCTCTTTATTTTCACTGGCAAACAACTGCAACACAGTAAAAAGCATTAAGGTTTACCAGAGTGCTTTCCCACAGACATATGAGATGGTTGAACGGGGACAAGCCTCAGCCTCTGTCAGACCATGGCAGATGGGCACAATCCCACAGTGTGAACAAAAAAAAAGGAGTTTACTTAAAAGAGATGAGCAAATCCGATAATTCAGATAAGCTGAACCTGTATTTAAGTTGCTAAGAATAGCCAGTAAATAGATTAATTGGGATGCTTATACTATGTTTAAACAAGTCCTGTATCAATTTGGGCACATATGCTTTGAAAATAGACAAAACACCTACGGCTGAGTTGCTCCCAACACTGCTGCCTTACAAGTTGCCATTGTGCAGTGTGGCGTAGTTTTACAGTGTTTGAGCAGAGTCATGGGTGAGCTGGTGTGCTCCAGCTGCAGTGAGTGGGGAATAGCAGGCAGAGAGGTGTGAGGTTACATCTAAGGCATTGAAAGGTGGGAAGGAATTCAGTTTACAGGAAAAGCATCTAAATATATAACTCTGATACACAGAGATGAGTTTTTAGGTGTCATCAGTAACAGACTTTAAATGCACATTCTCTAAATAAGACTAAATACATTTAAAATGATCAGTTTTCAATAGCATTCTGCAGTCTTCATCAAGATTGCTGAGTTTACAGAAATTCGCTAGTAAAAAAAGTTCCTAAGTGAAATTTTAGCAACAGCCTTTTTTATGATTTATATGCTGGGACACTTATGTAATAACGTGACGTAATGCCTCCTTGTTTTTCCTGTAAAACTGCGTTATGATTCATTTTGTTACGGCAAATGAAATGGCAGTTTCACAGGTACTAATGTATTTCTGTGCTCTTCCTCCAGACGACTTCGCTGATGAGGAGGAGGTACAGTCCTTTGGTTATAAGAGGTTTGGTAAGTATCAAGTGACTTCTTGACTTCCAGCTGTGACCACCTTCACTTCGGTTCTTATTCCTCAGAAATCAGTGATGTCACTCCAAATTATTGTCTAAAGAATAGAGTATTTTGTTTGGCTGCATCCCACCTACACTCACTATAATCCTCAAGGTTAAATGGAGGCTGCACCTCATTTCCCAGAAACAAACTTATTTTTGGCTGCTGTGTTCATTTTTATTTCTCTGCTGTAACAGCAGTGGGGTACAGCAGGAAGGGAAACCGCAGCATTCTGGGTGTTCCTGACCACTTGATGACTTTGCAACGTTATCAGCATCAGTGCACTTTTGTTCCACCCAGCACAAAACTATGCAAAATCACTTGGTCTAAAATCAAATATTCACTCTCTAAATGGGTCTGCTCATTTCCTTTTTCTTTTATCCCCATATGTGGTTGTCAGGGCCAAATTTTCCAGACAGGTTCATATTTTTACCCGCTCATCAGGCAATAAAAGTGATACCCGCTCACCAGATGTTACTAACTCCACATCTGTGTGAAGCACATTGAAAATATGCAAAACCTCGTAATAAAAATAATGAGATATTATATTTTAGTCTCAACAGACTATCAGGTGTTAGCACCTAAAGCTATTTTAGTAAGTTTCTTTTTAATATCATTGTTTAGAAGCCTTCAGGTAGGTATGACCACAATATCTCAGATTTGGTCCTAGAGGAGATACTTCGTAAGAAAACTTAACTGCTAAATAACACAAAAATAATCATATGGGTGTTTTACCTTGAACTTTCTAAGCACATTTCTGCAGCCATGTAGTATTTCTATGCGGAAGTTTGACCATGTTACTGTTGCATACATATGGATTATAAAAGGCCTATCAGCTTTCTATGGCAACATTGATTACACTTGGCTCAGGTGGTAGAGCGGTTGTCCTCTGATCATAAGGTTGGCAGTTCGATCTCCCGCCCCTCCACAGTCGAAGTGTCCTTGGGCAAGACACTGAACCCAAGGTTGCTCCCAATGGCAGACTAGCACCTTGCATGGCAGCTCTGTCGTCATTGGTGTATGAATGGGTGTGTGAATGGGTGAATGAGAAAACATTGTAAAGCACTTCGAGTGCCGCCAAGGTAGAAAAGCAGTCCATGTACCATTTACCATTTACACTTTATCAACTGATGGCAGACAAAGAACTTCTGTATCATCTGAAAGGACATGGCAGCAAAAAGAAGTTCTCTCCAGGTTCTCTGGCTTCCTCCCACACAGTCCAAAAACATGTTGAGGTTAATTGGTGATTCCAAATTGTCCGTAGGTGTGAATGTGAGTGTGCTTGGTTGTCTGTCTCTAAGTGTAGCCCTGTGATAGACTGGTGACCTGTCCAGGGTGTCCCCTGCCTTCATCCTAAGTCAGCTGGGATAGGCTCCAGCCCCCCCGCGACCCTCATGAGGATTAAGCGGTGTTTGGAAAATGGATGGATGGATGGAACTTGTTGGGTAAATTTGTAACGTTAGTCTTATTCTCCACTGGAAAGCACCTTGGCTCAATAGCTGTTGTTTAAAATGTGCTGTATGAATACCAGTCACTTGACTTGACTTGACTTGACTTGACTATTGACTCAGGATTTGACTATATCTTTTACATTGTCTGTCAAAACAGTGGTCTGTAAATACAGCAATAATAGTTGTTACTTGGATACCATTAATGGCCGCCTGCAGCTATATTTTTCAGTCTTTGATCGCAATGCTGTGAAGAATTCTAACTGCAGCGTGATATATTAGTGTCTTCTCATAGCTTTCTGCTGCTTCTGTCCCAGTAGAGATCAAGTTACACTTTTGGTCGTCTGGTTTAAGAAGTGGTTTAGTGTGTGTGTATGTATGTGTGTGTGTGTGTGTGTGTGTGTGTCATACATGCACTCAGCAGCCATATGTCAAGAAGTGTGAATGCAATAGGAATCTACATCGTGTGTCATCACAATCAGTTTACACATGTACACAAATCTTACTGTGTTACACGTGAATGTGTGTGTTGATTTAGATCTTATTAGATCAAGAGGACAGTTTGGATTAACTTACTTAAAACAAACCATCATTCTTGTCGTAATGTGTGTGTGTGTGTGTGTGTGTGTGTGTGTGTGTGATTCAGACATGAGTTACACTGCACATTATTCATTCTGAGCATCTGGACTTTTTATGCAGCTGCTTGACCTCTGGTTACTAAACAGCTATACAGGAACAGATAAAGGTTAAATGAGCATTCCACCAACAAGACATATTCTTTGAATATCCAATATCTGCTGTTTGTAGATTTGGAACAAGTCAAAACCTATATAGAACTGCCCAAACAAAATACTCTGATGTATCAGAAGCTCTTGACATAGATTGGCCATGTCTTTGGAACTTACCTAAAGGGAGAAACACATATGTGGTTTTGAGAACAGTGATGTTGCTTCAAAAACTTCAGAAGACATACAGTTAGCATATGACAAACATCCTTTTCATACTCACCAAAGCATTAATTGACCCTCGACATCTTGTATCTAAGCATTACCAATTGCTGCGTTTCTGCAAATTTATTTATTTTGGGAAATAGACTTATTCACATGTGAAGTGTGAGTCAGATAGGAAGATCGATACTACTCTCATGTTTGTAGTGAAACTGTGGACATGGAGCAAGGAGGTAATTAGCCTAGCTTAGCATGAAGGTTGGAAGCAAAGGAAACATCTAGTCTGGACAGGTAATCAGTCCATCCAGCACTTCAATGCAGTGATTCCATCACAGTGACTCTTGAAAACCTAGAGTTTGACGGTTCTGCCCAGAGACCTCAGATGTTGTTCCTGGGATCTGCTGGAGCCATTCTCCAGTTTGTGGGACACTGCTCCCAGTGCCCAGTGATCACCACTGGAACCACTGTTGCCTATACCACCCCCATCTTTTTGGGTTCCTCATTCAGCCCTTGGTACTTCTCCAGCTTCTCATGTTCTTTTTATCTGATGTTACTGCAGCTCGGTATCACCACATCTATCACCACCAACACGATGTGTGGTTGGTTACCCACCACCACCCTATGGATCTTGTGCTAAGGGCCTGTTCTTGTGCAATCATGATCAGTGTCTTTGTGCTGTCCTTCAGTCCAGCCCTTTCTAGCTACTGGTAGGATTTCCTGACATCAGCCACTTCCTCTATCTGGTGGTGGTACATGCTGTGGAGGGGCTTGTCTCACCATGATGGTTGGGTCTCATCTTCTGCATTCCTGGGTCTCTGTTGCCTGAGGTAATCACTCAGCAGCTTGTCCTTGGGGGTCATCTTCAGGATGTTTTCCTGAATCTTAGCTGCTTCATCTTGGACAGTGGTGTGGACACTCCAGTCCTCAGCTGCCCTCGGCCTTCTTCTTATACAACCTGAAGGTGCGGGACTTGGGATGAAACCCTCAATGCATTGTGAGGAGCTTTCTTGTCTTCATATCGTGGCTTCCATCACCTCCTTTGGCCAGTTGATTATTTCAGCAGGGTATCGGAAGCAGGGCATATGTGTTGATGGCCTGGACCTTGTTCCTCCTATTCAGCTGACTCTTTACAACCTGCCTTACTTGTTGAAGATGTTTGACTGTGGCAGACAGACTGCAGCTTCCTTGTGGTTCCCATTTGCCTGCAGTATCCCAAAGTATTTGTAACTGTCCTGAACATCTGCAATGCTGCCTTCTCATAGTTGAAACCCCTTGGTTCTGATTACCTTTCCCCTCTTTAATACCATCCTGCCACATTTGTCTCGTCCAAATGACATCCTGACGTCGTTGCTGCAGATCCTGGTGGTGTGGATCAGGGAGTTGATGTCTCGCTCACTCTTGGCATACAGCTTGATGTCATCCATGTAGAGGAGGTGGCTGATGGTCTGGTCCGCTTTGTCTTTGTGATGATCTGGCTGAGGGGGTTTTGGCCAATTCTTGATGAAGGCTCTTAGTGTCCTGTTGATACTGTACAACTCCAAGCATTCCAGGATTCATGTGTGTGGCACTGAGTCATCGGCATTCTTGTAGTCAGTCCTGGCCATTCACAGGTTGGTCTCTCTGGACTTGCAGTTGTGGGTGACTGCTCTGTCTACTCGTAGCTGGTGCCTGCCTCCTCTGGTATTGCTACCAATTCCCTTCTGAGCATGGTTCATGTATTGTGCCATGTGCCTATTCATCTTAGCCGCTATGATGCTTAACAGGAGCTTCTGTTTTGTACACAGGCAAGTTATTGGCTGGTAGTTCGTAGGGATTGCATCTTTCTAGGGGTCCTTCATAGTAAGGACTGTTTGCCCTTGGGTTAGCCAGTCTGGGTGGGTCCTATCTGTCAGCAATTGATTTATTTGTACTGCCAGATGCTTGTGGAGGGAGTTAGCCTCTTTAGCCGGTAGGTGTGGATCATGACCAGACCCGGTGATGTCCAGCTTTTCATACCTGACACTCTTTAACAGCTTCAACAGCTTCATTCCACAAGCTGCACTTCTTTATTTAATTGCTTTTAGTGTTTGGGTCCTGAATAAAAGCTCTCTCATCTTGTTCATACAACTGTAATTTGATTTGATTGATTTGATATGATTTTCTTAGATATCTGCCATTGTGGTGTTCACTGGTTCCTGTTCTGGGAAACTGCAGTAATCATATATACATATGAAAGATTTTTTAGTTTTTATTTTATTTTAAATTTTTTATTTTTTTCTTTATTAGTTTTTTTAATAGTATGTTATATTAGGTAGCATGTATGCCAATACTGATGTATCTGTGAAAGGCTGAATAAGCAAATATTGATCAGGCTCTACTGGAAACTACATTTTTGCTTCTCTTTTTGTGCAATGATTAAACAGTCAAGATAAAACCAGTCGATTAGTGAGCTTTAGATGGTATAAGGAGATCTTTGTTGTAAGCTAACCTGCTCCTGCTGCAACTCAAAATTTAGCCCACTAATGTGCAAGTGACTGGCAAGCTTCTCATCTCTCACAAAAAAGGGGCATTTTCCAAAATGTTGAAC